CGTGCAACGAATCAGCCTCACCCCCTCCCCAAGTGCCGCTCTGATCCCTTTCCCTTGCCCAATCTGCTGCTCAGCTGTCTGCTCCTTGCCCTGTGCTTGCTCCCTGCCAAATCTGATGCTCTGAGGTCTCCCTGCCCTGCTCCCTGCCCTAGCTGTGACTGTGCTGCTTATCTGCTCCCCAATTTATTGCCTGCCACACACAGAGGCTGCCTGTGCCACTTGTGGCACCCATGACACAGGTTGGCCACTCCTGGATTAGAACAAAATACCTCTTATAGACTGTGGGGCCCAATGAGGCAGGAAATACCTGTTTTCACAGTTGGCCCCTTATTCCTGATCAGGACTTCTAGGTGTTAGTACAGTATTACTATTACTAATGAGAACGCTCACCTGTGTGGATGAGGCACACATGACTAGATTTTGTGTTAATATAAGTGAGTAAAATTACACTGAAGTCAGTGTGGCTATGTCTATTTATACCAGAAGATAATCTGGTCAGTAATTGGTGGGTTGTTTGATATACAAACTCAAAGGTCAGTTGAACTGCAGAAAGGGGCTTTTCATATACAGGTCCTTGAAATACTGATGACATTGCTTCCTTTGCAAGTTGATGGGTCAAAGGAAAGCTGAATGCCTTAAAGCTAAAAAGAAACCATTTGAGTCCCAAATAAAGGTTAACAGCATGAATACTGCCATACTGCAAGCAGTTTAGATGCTATGTTAAAATATTAAAATAAAATATTTTTCTAATTTGCATCTGAATCATGAACTTTTGTGCATGTTTTTAACCCAACAGTAAAGGATATATTTTAATAGGGTCTAGACCTATTTCAGGGCCAAGACGCTGCGTACTGTGATCCTGATCCAGGAAAGTACTTAAGAACTTGCTTAACTTGAAGCATCTGACCAGTTCAATGAAATCAAAAGATTACTCACATGTTTGAAATTAAAAACATGCTAATGGGTTTCTTTTTTAATCAGGGTCAAATACTTATTATGTTGCAGGACTAATCCTTCAGTCTGGAGGACCATATTCTGCTCTCAACATAGATTTGCAGTAAATCCACAGTAATCAATTACATTATTCTCTACAACAGTGTAATTAAAAGCACCATTTAGTCCACCAGGTTTAAGCCTAATTTCACTTGTGTTGTTTTTACACTGATTTAACTTTATTAAGTTTAATGAGGTTATTTCTAGTTGATACCAGCTTATGTGAAGGGAGAATCAGACCTGTGCCTGAAAATGTGCAGAACCAGCATAAGTAGACGGCGAATCAGAGTTGTATATTGAAACTGTGCAGAAAATCCGTGACCTGTAAAATTTTACTGATCTCTTTTCAGCAGCTCCTGAAATCTGTTAATTGGACTACAGGAATATTTATAGCCAGAATCTCATGTACACTTAAGCCTCTTTACACTATTACCACTTTTATGTAAATATGACAGAAATTGTATTCACATCTATTTTATGATCCTTTTACATTGTCAATATAGTGAAAATAGACATAGTATAAATGAGAATCTCACCCATGTTCTTCATAAGATAATATTGAAACATATCTTGATTATATGAAATCAGGTCTTACATGTATACTGGGAGTTACAAGATACAAGATAGATTTTTTGAATGTATAAAAGAAAAAACAATATTTATTCTTCTGTTAAACAGGAACGATGGCAAAATTTTAACTCCCAGTATTTTATTATGTCCTCAAGAAACTTTTGTTGGCAATGCGTTGGTCTAATAAAAGATATCAAATTCACCCAAGGAACCTTGTCTGCCTACATTATGTTCCAGCACTGAAAAAATAACAGATGTTGGATTATTGCTGTTTTACAGTATGTAGAAAAAATCATAATATGCTTGGAATTAGGTCCACAGAATTGTCCTTGAAATACAACATGGTTTTCAAATTTTTTCTTAGTTAACATTAGGTTTTCTGTGTCATGAAATAAATCTTTAAAAAATGAAGTTTAATAGTTGGCTAGTAAGGAACCATAAGGAAAGTGTAAAAGCTATTCGGTAATATCTCTGTTTGCAGTATTGGGTGTGCATATAGAAATGAAAAATCTAACTTGATTTCTTTAAAACAGAGCCAAATAATGTCCAGCTTAGCTCCATGGCTTTTCGCTGCAGTCCCCCTTCCTAAACGGGACAGCCAGACCATGGAGTAGCATTAAGATATTGGTGAGTCAATTCACCAAGTGATATCCTATATGGATGTCAGTACACAACAAACAGGTTTCATAATAATATATACTAAGTTTTCATCCAGTACAAGCAGTTTGTCACTTTTGTATTGTCATTAGTACAACTGTGGTAGGGAGTGTAACTTGAACATCCTAGTCTGAAATATAGATTTCCTGTTACATAAATTATTCCACTGCCAATTCTTCAATTGTCCATCCCAAAAATTGTTGCAAAGCCCTGCTACGCTTTGTCAGGCAGCCACTATACTCAATCCAGCTATGAGAATAGTATTGGATCCGAACTCCCTTCCAACAGAGGCAAACTGTATTTCCAAACTGAACTGCAGGCACAAGTCTGAGTACTTCTCCTTCCAGCTACTTATTCATTGGCAGTTGGCTAAGCCAGACACTCACGTATGCAGACTTTCAGCTGCAATCAAAAGACTACTAACTTTTGAAGCTGTAAATTGCACTCGTTTGAGGAACAGCCTTACGGGGCACAAATCAGCTCATTAAAATATATGGCTGGGATTTTCATAGGAACTTAAGGGAGGCAGGTGCTCTACTCCCATTGAAATTTATTCAGCTTTAGGTGCCTAACTCCCTCGGGCTCCTTTGAGAATCTCAGCATACATATTGCATTCAAAATTGCTGTTGAAGAATATTATCCAGGGTCTAAAGTCAAGTGCTTTAAAGTTAGGTAATGCCAGATTTATGGTTGCTCAGACAAGATGAATTCTGCCTGTTTCAGCACTGAATTTATGCTATGAATGAGGTAAAACAGTGTGTGATCAGGTAACAAAATCTGTACCATAATGCATATGTCCAAGGAGCCTGAATCAAGGTTACACAGCAACTGTAAATCTGGCATTTCTTAATGTTAACTATGCAACCTAAATAAAGCTGTTCTAATGTAGCTCTTTTGTATGTTGGTAGTGTAACGAAGGGTGGGGGGTGACTGGGGCACCAGGCCCAGGTATTGACCCTGGATGGGGGCAAAATAACCAGAACTGGCTGAGCTGTTGGATCAGCCGCCACCATGGTGGCAGCAGTCCAGCTAGTGGTGTTGCCCTGCCCATGTGGCGCCAAGCCCAGGACACTCAAGCGTATCGTGACACCTCTGGTTTCTAGGAGTTTTTTAAAAGGGCAAATGTGAAGCAAAGGATGTGCACCACAACACCTCCCCCTGAGTTGCAACCAGGAGTCTATCCCTTGGTGAAATCCCATGACTTGCTGGATGCACAGGGTCAGTCTAAATGATCATAATGCCCTCCCCACCCCCAAACAACTAATATTTATCACTCCTTAACAGAGTCTGAATTCTGGTCATTCTGTGCTACAGTGGAGACCGTTCCTGTGTGAGCTGAAGGCTCAGTTAAATTAGCTGCTAGGTTGAGAAGGCACTATCCCAAGGTTGGACCCTTGGGCCTAGAAGTGGTGAGAGAGACAAGCTCAGCTCCTCTTTCTCTTCTCCTTCCTCCCCATCGGGAGTTGAGGGGGTATTATGTTTTATGTGATGCCACCACGTAGATTTGGGACAAAGGGCACCTATACATGACGGAGGTCTGCTCTGATGCATGCTAACTCAATTAATCAAGTCTGCTGGAGTCACGTGTATTCAGTGTCCCCGTGTTTCAAAATGGCAGCGGGGACGTTGAACTAAAGCTCATCAAGCGAGCTTTGGTTAAAGCGCCCTGGCCACCATTTTGAAGCACGGGACACTGAATATACATGACGCTCTTAGTTTGCTCTAATTAAAGCACCTCCCCTTCACCCTGGAGCATGTGTATAGAGGCCCAAGGTGACTGTAGGTGGGAGAGATTTCTGGGTGGGAAGGAAAGCCCAGTGTGACTCCTGAGAGGTGTGTCCCCTGTTCACGCATCTGATCCATGTAGTATCCCTACAAGGGAACATGACTCTCTACGGTTTTGTGCCAGATCTGAGGTGATGGGATAGGGAGGAACCAGGCCAGCCCCTGCCGCATTTCCCTTAGCTCTAAAATTGCTTCAGGAAGGTCAGAAGTTCCCAGTAAAGCATGTGTTGCTGATGCCCCAACTTTGGCAGGGGCATGAACCTGCACTTGAAATGTTCAGATTAGTTATTATATAAGCAGGATGCCAAAATTGCA